GCTTGATTATACACAATGACGTTCCCACTCGTGCCTGGAAACGACCGTTTCCGGGCCGGGCTGTGGACGCTCCGCGCGCTCTGGGCGGCGCGGCGAGGACCATTTCCGGGTGGCGGGGCGGGGCGGGGCGGCCCCGCAGGGCTCCGGGATGGACGGCCGCGTCTGCCGCGTGGACATCTGTTTGCGCCGTCCAAACACGGCCCGCTTGATTAAAGTGGCGGGATTAGCCGATTTAGCCGCGGTGCGGGTTCGAATCCCCCCGGATCCGCTCCGGATTCTGTTCGGCCAGGGCGCAGGGCGGCGCAGGGCGGCGCAGGGCGGCCCCCGCGGGACGGCGGAACGACCCCGGCGTCGTCGCGCCGCTCTGCGCTTTGCCCTGATTTGGCAAACGAGGCCGACTCTGCTCCGCTTTGCTCGAGGCGCTCGAGGCGCCGGCGGCGCGTTTTCCCTCGTTTTCCCGGGGTGCTCATCAGCACGGATAATGCTCGGCCACTCCGAGGTCCCCTCGGGGGTCAGCCTCCGTCTCTCTCGCGACCGAGAGAGACAGAGCGACCGGAGCACTGTTCGGGGCACCAGGCTGGCGCGCTGGCGCAGGCTGGCGGCGGCCGATGTGACCTAACGTCTTTACGACCCGCTGGACCCGCTGAGACCTGGGACCCACGACCGACGTGACAACAAGGTTGCCGACGCTGTAATTTGGAGGGCCGTCCTTTTTACACGTGGCTTGAAAAAAGCAGCCGCCAGCCAGCCGGCCAGCCAGCCGAGCGAGAGAGCTCGGGGCTAAGCCAAAGGGCCCAACTTGTCCCCTTCCTTGGCTATAGTTATTTTTCAAATCCTCTTCGTGCCAGTCCACTTCCTGGTCAAAACGACACGAACCACGCACACAAAACAAAAGGCTAGAAAACCCCATGGCGTCCGTCCATAGGAAACAATGTGATTGCTCACAGTACGACCATGCTATAGGACGCACTTCCTGGGCAACGCTTCCGGGAATAAACACACCCACAAATGCGCACGCCGATACACACACACACACGCATGAGCGGGCGCGGTGGCGCGGTGTCACACACACACACACACAAAACGCAAACACACGCGCGCGTTTCTAAACCGTATGCGGCAAATCAAAAACCGTATGAGGCAGACCAAAAGCCGTATAGGGCAAACAAAAAACCGTATGCGGCAAATCAAAAACCGTATGAGGCAGACCAAAAGCCGTATAGGGCAAATAAAAAACCGTATGCGGCAAATCAAAAACCGTATGAGGCAGACCAAAAGCCGTATAGGCCAAACAAAAAACCGTATGCGGCAAATCAAAAACCGTATGAGGCAGACCAAAAGCCGTATAGGCCAAACAAAAAACCGTATGCGGCAAATCAAAAACCGTATGAGGCAGACCAAAAGCCGTATAGGCCAAACAAAAAACCGTATGCGGCAAATCAAAAACCGTATGAGGCAGACCAAAAGCCGTATGGGGAAAAAAAAAAACCGTATGCGGCAAATAAAAAACCGTATGAGGCAGACCAAAAGCCGTATAGGCCAAAAAAAAAACCGTATGCGGCAAATCAAAAACCGTATGAGGCAGACCAAAAGCCGTATAGGCCAAACAAAAAACCGTATGCGGCAAATCAAAAACCGTATGAGGCAGACCAAAAGCCGTATAGGCCAAACAAAAAACCGTATGCGGCAAATCAAAAACCGTATGAGGCAGACCAAAAGCCGTATGGGGCCAAACAAAAAACCGTATGCGGCAAATCAAAAACCGTATGAGGCAGACCAAAAGCCGTATAGGCCAAAAAAAAAACCGTATGCGGCAAATCAAAAACCGTATGAGGCAGACCAAAAGCCGTATAGGCCAAACAAAAAACCGTATGCGGCAAATCAAAAACCGTATGAGGCAGCCCAAAAAGCCGTATAGGCCAAACAAAAAACCGTATGCGGCAAATAAAAAACCGTATGAGGCAGACCAAAAGCCGTATGGGGCCAAACAAAAAACCGTATGCGGCAAATCAAAAACCGTATGAGGCAGACCAAAAGCCGTATAGGCCAAAAAAAAAAACCGTATGCGGCAAATCAAAAACCGTATGAGGCAGACCAAAAGCCGTATGGGGCCAAACAAAAAACCGTATGCGGCAAATCAAAAACCGTATGAGGCAGACCAAAAGCCGTATAGGCCAAACAAAAAACCGTATGCGGCAAATCAAAAACCGTATGAGGCAGACCAAAAGCCGTATAGGCCAAAAAAAAAACCGTATGCGGCAAATCAAAAACCGTATGAGGCAGACCAAAAGCCGTATAGGCCAAAAAAAAAACCGTATGCGGCAAATAAAAAACCGTATGAGGCAGACCAAAAGCCGTATGGGCCCAAACAAAAAACCGTATGCGGCAAATAAAAAACCGTATGAGGCAGACCAAAAGCCGTATAGGCCAAAAAAAAAACCGTATGCGGCAAATCAAAAACCGTATGAGGCAGACCAAAAGCCGTATAGGCCAAACAAAAAACCGTATGCGGCAAATCAAAAACCGTATGAGGCAGACCAAAAGCCGTATAGGCCAAACAAAAAACCGTATGCGGCAAATCAAAAACCGTATGAGGCAGACCAAAAGCCGTATAGGCCAAAAAAAAAACCGTATGCGGCAAATCAAAAACCGTATGAGGCAGACCAAAAGCCGTATAGGCCAAACAAAAAACCGTATGCGGCAAATCAAAAACCGTATGAGGCAGACCAAAAGCCGTATAGGCCAAACAAAAAACCGTATGCGGCAAATCAAAAACCGTATGAGGCAGACCAAAAGCCGTATAGGCCAAACAAAAAACCGTATGCGGCAAATCAAAAACCGTATGAGGCAGACCAAAAGCCGTATAGGCCAAACAAAAAACCGTATGCGGCAAATCAAAAACCGTATGAGGCAGACCAAAAGCCGTATAGGCCAAACAAAAAACCGTATGCGGCAAATCAAAAACCGTATGAGGCAGACCAAAAGCCGTATAGGCCAAACAAAAAACCGTATGCGGCAAATCAAAAACCGTATGAGGCAGACCAAAAGCCGTATAGGCCAAACAAAAAACCGTATGCGGCAAATCAAAAACCGTATGAGGCAGACCAAAAGCCGTATAGGCCAAACAAAAAACCGTATGCGGCAAATCAAAAACCGTATGAGGCAGACCAAAAGCCGTATAGGCCAAACAAAAAACCGTATGCGGCAAATCAAAAACCGTATGAGGCAGACCAAAAGCCGTATAGGCCAAACAAAAAACCGTATGCGGCAAATCAAAAACCGTATGAGGCAGACCAAAAGCCGTATAGGCCAAAAAAAAAAACCGTATGCGGCAAATCAAAAACCGTATGAGGCAGACCAAAAGCCGTATAGGCCAAACAAAAAACCGTATGCGGCAAATCAAAAACCGTATGAGGCAGACCAAAAGCCGTATAGGCCAAACAAAAAACCGTATGCGGCAAATCAAAAACCGTATGAGGCAGACCAAAAGCCGTATAGGCCAAACAAAAAAACCGTATGCGGCAAATCAAAAACCGTATGAGGCAGACCAAAAGCCGTATAGGCCAAACAAAAAACCGTATGCGGCAAATCAAAAACCGTATGAGGCAGACCAAAAGCCGTATAGGCCAAACAAAAAACCGTATGCGGCAAATCAAAAACCGTATGAGGCAGACCAAAAGCCGTATAGGCCAAACAAAAAACCGTATGCGGCAAATCAAAAACCGTATGAGGCAGACCAAAAGCCGTATAGGCCAAACAAAAAACTGTATGCGGCAAATCAAAAACCGTATGAGGCAGACCAAAAGCCGTATACGGCAAACCGAAAAGGAAAAGAATAGCGCCTAAATCCAGAATCCTTGAAGGAGCTGGGCGACAGTGCGGGGCGCCTAACCTAACCAGCGAGCCGCAGCGCGTTGCCCCCGCGGCTGGCGGCTGGCGGCTAGCGGCGGCCCACTGCAAGTGGCGGGAGACACTCACACTCACACTGGCAGGGCGTGCCGTGCTGACACTGGTGCTGCAGCGGCCAGGGCACGCCGCGGTCCTGCAGCGACACTGCCGTCTGCGTGGCGCACTCGGCGCTGCTCTCGGGCGCCATCGCGGTGCTGGCCGTGCTGGCCGTGCTCGCGCTGCTCGTCGTGGTCAAGCGCAGCCTACATGCCGTCGTGCGGCGCGGTGCTGCTCGGGTCGCGATGTCGATAACACTGATTCGCGGATCCTCGCGCCTCGCTCCAGCGTGGGCCACCCGGGGGGTGGGGCTGGCGGGGTGGTGCTGCGGGGCGGGGCGCGGCGGGGCGGGGCGCGGTGGTGAGCGGCCCGGTGTTTTTGGGTGCCCCTCGGGTGCAAAGTCCCCCGCGCGCTATCTCCTGCAGCAGTATCGGCCTGGCTGTTGTTTTCGGGGAAAGCGGCAGCACTTGGGCGCCGACAAGGAGGCCGAGCAGCACGTGAGTGTGCCGCCGTGCCGCCCCGCGATGACGTCATCCTCCATATCGACTCGAGGGTGGCGACGGTGGCGCCTCTCGCGGCCGCCAGGCAGGACCACCGCCGCCACCCCTCGCAACGCCACGGCGACGCTAGCGCCCTCTGGATGCGGCCGCGTGCGGCGCGGGCGCGGGGCGCAGGGCGCGGCGGCAAAAGGACAAAAGGGTCGCAACCCTCATCACGCCGACAACAAAGGGCGTCGCGTGGCGTGGCGTGGCGGGGCGGGGCGGCGTCGAGCACCGCCAGTCGAGTGTTTCGCGACAATGAGCCAGCGCGATGCGGCGCCATGGCGCGATGCGTCCCGAAGGGCCGTGCAGAGACAGGGCTGCGCTGGCAGAGACAAGGGTGAGGGGCCCGGGGCCTCGAGCGCCAGTTGCACGCCAATCATGGCCCTGCAGGCTGCTCTGTCTCTGTCGCACTGAAGCGGGTGGCAGAGAGACAAAGCTTCAACAATACAGTTGCCTGCGCGCGAACCACACGGGGCGTCGCGGCCCTTCTGCTGTGGCCTACACTGTACTCACCGTTCCGGGCGCGGGCTGCGGCGGCCGCCGCCATGGAGGCCGGCCGGGGCGGCACCCGCGGTCTCGGGGGCAGCGCGGGCGGCGACGTCTTGGCCGACTCGGGCCGTATGAGCAGCACCTCGGGGCCGGGCGCGGGGCTGAGCTCCATGGCGGGCAGCGGGATGGGTCCGTGGCCCCCGCTGCCCCTCCGCGCCACGCCCCCGGGCTCGGGGGTGGCGGCGGCGCTCCTCTGGCCAGCAGAGACGCCATCTGCAACAAGAAACGCATCGTCAGGTCGCCGTCGACGCCGTCGACGTCGGCGGGCACCACCAAGCCCCCCTCGCGGTCCCGATGTTGCGAAGATGTCGCTGACAGGGCCTCCTTTGTGTCCTCCCGTGTCATCCAATTGTTTGGGACGAAGGAGGGAAACTTGCATTCCCCACTTATCTGATCAGACCCTTTTCATGGATAGATCCACTCCACGACAACCTCCCCCTTCCCCCGCGGCTACCTGCCCGGGCGCAGTGCCGCATACGTTCGCTCTTCCAGCGAGATTCCACGGGCATCCCCCAAACACGCAGACAAATAAACAGATTTACGGCAAAGTTCCCCGCGCCTGCTCGATTCCGCAGAGACAATCAATGAATGCCGGAGGCGCGTTCCCCTCACCCTGGTTGGGTTAGGTTAGGTGAGTGTGCGAGAGAGATAGAGCCTCGGGCATTAAAATCGGATTATCCGCCAGCAAGGCAGGCAAGGCAGGCGAGGCGTTCCACAGCCGTGTGATTCAGAGGATCGCTTTGTCGCTCTGTCTCTCTCGCACCCTCACGGAGAGCCCCATGAGTGCGAGAGAGACAGAGCTCGGCAGTCCTCACCGTTCCCCACGACGGGCTGCCTTCTTGGGGTCCTCGCGGCGGAGCGGAGCGAAGTGAACACTACACATGCGGCTCGGCTCGCCACGGCCCGGCGAGCCAGAAGCGCGCCAAAACACGACGCGCCCCACACGGCCATGCATGCAGCGGGGCGACGACGAGGAGAAGAAGAAGGAGAAGGAAAAGGAGAAGGGGAAGCACGTATTCGTTCCAGGTCCAGCGCGTCCAGCCCGGCTGGCTGCAGAGAGTCGTTTCCTCTGCGAGAGAGACAGAGCGACGAAAACGACTCTCGGAATGAGTCTGCTGGAGCACCGGCTGGAGCGGATTGGACAATTGGACACGGAGCGGGTAGGGCCTTACTCGCCGTCCGGCTGCCCACGCCTCACCCAGCCTCGCCCGGCCCTACCAACCTCAGCCACCTTATCGCCAGCACCGATAACCAGAGCGCAGGTCGGGGCCGCCGGCGCAGGCACCCCGGCACAGCCCCGGGCAAGCCGCTCGGAAGCTTTATTTACCTTTTTCCATGGTGCAGTGCCCTGGCCGCTGCCAACCCAACCCCGCCCAACTCGCCCAACTCCGCCACCCTCCCCGACGTCCCCGACCGCCTCAATCTTCTCTTTCAAAATGGAGCAGGGGCAGGTGCGCCCGGCTGCAGCGGCGCGTCTAGTCCCCCCCCCCCCCAAATCCGAGAGGCAGTGAACTCGGCTAGTGCCAGCATCACGCCGCGTTGCCGCGTTCGTCCCGAAACCGAATACAGACTCCGCTCATTACCGTTTAGGCGAGCGGAGAACATTTCCCTCGTCTCGGAAAGTGGCACCAGTGTAACCGAAACCAGAGCACTGCACTAATGGGGCGCGGCGCCAGTCAAGCCTGCGGCGTGCGGGGGCGGCGGGCTGCAGCAGGCTGACAGTCGCCCTGTCTCTCTCGCACGCACAGCACCCCGACAGGCCGGGGCGCGAGTGCGAGAGAGACAGAGACAAGGCAGCCCGGAGTCGGCCAGGGCTGCACCAGGGCTGCACCAGGGCTGCACACATGACACACTGCAGACCTGTTGGTTAGCAGCAGGGCCTACAGCAGGCAGCCTAGACAGGTGCAGTCACACGCACTAGGGAAAGGAGGGGACCGTCCCTCGAGGCCGCAATCTCAACAGGTGCTTCGGCAAACTCAAGCCACCCCGACAGCCAATGGCGGCGCGGTGACTTCGCCAAGAGTATTGGCCACCTCCACCGGTCTTCTGGCCCACTGTGCGGCCGGGCCCTGCATCGCGCTATCGGATCGGTACCGCGGGCGCGGTGCACGGCCGCACGGCCCGGCCGGGTAGTACTCGTGGCGCGGCGGCGCGGCGTTGCCACGGTGACGGCGTAGGGCCCAACGGAAAGGAAGGAACAACAACAACAACACCAGCAACAACGGCAAACGATTGTCTATTCGAGCGGGCCTCGCCCGGAGGGTCCCCCCGCTGGAGCCTCGGCTGGAGCCTCGGCTGGAGCCGGAGAGCGAGGGGGAGAGAGAGGGAAGCGCGAGACGGGCGGGCACTCCGTCATAGGGCCGGGCCGCGCGCTGGCCGCCACCATGACCACCACGACCACGACGCCGAGCCGTGACGTCATCGGCCTGCAGTGCCGCAGCAGCACGCAACGACGCCAGACGGCCGGCGAGCCGCCCGATGGCGGTAATGCATGTAATTACCGCGGAATTTCACACCAATTGTCGCTTCCCGATCGACCCGCGGGAAACGACGACGCAACGGCCCGCCCTCTTCTCTCTCTCTCTCTCTCTCTCTCTCTCTCTCTCTCTCTCTCTCTCTCTCTCTCTCTCTCTCCCTCTGTCTCCACGCGAGTCAGGCGGTCTCGCGGGGTCCAAGACGGCGGCGGCTCGCAGGCAGAGGTGCGCAGTGGTTGTGCAGTACAGTGTAGGGGCGGTGTGCTGGGTGCAGCACTGGTCGCAGTGTAGCCCGGTGGCAGCCTCGTCATATTTCTCGGCAGTCTCTTCGCCGGACACGCCACGGACACGTCCGCCCGGGCACAATGAAATCAATCCGTTGTTGTCTCGCGGTGCCTCGCAGCGCCTCGCAGTAAATACCTGTATAGTAGGCCCGGCAGTAAATCGGTGGCAGGTGCGCCAAGCGGCCCAAGCCGGCCAAGCCAAGGGCTGCGAGGACACTGCGAGGCTTCTCTTCTCACGGCCCCGGGGCTGCGGGCCACTGTGGGCCAGTGTAGGTGCCAATAGGCAACCGCCAGGACCGCCAGGACCGCCAGGCAGCCGACTGCTTTGAATAGCTGGCCGACCGGGGATGGCCCCTGGCCCCCAAGGGCCCCACGGTGCCCGAAGGGCGGCCCGGGGGCTGCTTTGCTTTAGTCCTTTGTCCCTTTTATCCGGGCGAGTTTTCCCGCGCGGAAATAAGAAGCAGGGAAAACAGCGCGGCTGCCCTTCGGCCGCCCTTCGGCCGACCTCGTGATCCTCCCTGAAGGGCTCCCGGACCCCGCCGAGGCCGCGTCCACCTCCGCGATTCCGCCTAAGCAAACCCTCGAGCCGAGCGTCCAAACGAAAAGGGAACCCGGGTAAATTTTAATGCGGCCTGGCGCCCTTCAAACACGCCCTTTGCCTGGGGCCCTCCGGTCCGGGGCCCTCTGGCCGGGAAGGGATAAATTAGTGTTACTGCTCTACCTGGCCATCAAGAGGGGGAGTTCGCCTCCGTGCTGCGCGGTGCTGCTGCACTGCCGCGCGTGGACGCGCGTGGAGTGGCGGAGGGCGGCCGCGACGAGGTCCCCGATAACCCATCTCGTGTCGCCGACGCCGGCCTCGGCCCCGGTGCCCCGCGGTGCCCCACGACGGAGCCACCTGGCACGGCGATTTGGTTTACGGCCCCGGACTATGACAACGTCCCAAAACACAAAAACACGCGCCGGGGGTGGGGAAGGGTTGACGATCTGGCGACATTGTGGACGGCCACTAAAACGTCGAGACGCGACGAGACGCCGACGCGGCGGGGCGCCCCAGACGGCCCCCGCTGGCTCTGGACCGCCGCCATGGTGGCGGTCTAGGGCTGCAAGCTGGAGCGAGCTGGAGCGGCGTGGTCGGCTTGGCGTGCTTCGCGGTTTGAGGACGGCGTCGGGGCGCGGCGCGCACGCCTCCGTTTCAGACTCACGGCTCTATCGCGGCGACCGCATCGCATTGTTTTATTGCTGCTCCAGTTCGGCCAGCACCGCGAGTCGGCCGCGAGAGAACGACCCGCCTCCCCGGCGCGCCGCCCAGCGCCTTGTCTAACCTAACCAGCAGCGCCCGGCGGACGCGCGGTAGGCAGCCTGCCCAGCCGCCTCGCTCGGGACGCTCGGGTGGCAGATTTACAAGGCGAGGTGCCAAAATATGACGAGCCGTCCCGGCAAGGCACGGCGTCAAGGCGTCAAGGCCGCGGGGGGCGAAGTCCGCACCCAGGTGAGCACAAAGGGCGGGTTGTCCCCGGCACCGTGAAAAATCTCATCGCGTGGATTCTCTCACACTCCGGGTCCACGTCACCGGCACGCTCCTGTCTCTCTCGCACCCCTGCGGCAGGCTCCACGAGTGCGAGAGAGACAACGTGACGAAGCTAGCGTCCTGGCCGCAAGGTCGAGGCCGGTCACGTATGGTCCTTTCCACTGCCTTTCCTCCGGCAAGGCCGCGACACTCCGTGCTCCTTTGTGGGCACCTTCGCCTCGCCGGGGATGCTGTCGGCCTGACGGCCTGTCCACCGGCGTGGCCAATCCCGGGGACGCCTCCGTCGTCCGACGGCGAGGTCGATGGCCCCGGCGCCAGCGTGCGACAACCGCGAGAAACAAAACAGCCGGGCGCGGGGATCGAACCCCGGTCCCACGCTTTCGCGACCCGATGCGCTGCCCCCTCGGCCGGGGCACTTTCTCTCTCACACGGCCACCGTGTGTGGCGGCGGCGACGCGGCGGCACCATGGGGTGGCCGTGGAGGTGGCCGTGGAGGTGGCCCTCGAGGTGGCCGTCGATGGCGCCCCCGCTACACCGCGGCCCCCCGCCGGGCTCCGTGTGGCCCCCCGGCCGGCCGAACAAATTGAACGGCGCGTCTTCCAAGTCTTCATTGCCCTCACAATTAACGTCCATTTGTATCCGTGGGCCGACGCGGCCTGCCCCGGCGTGGCCCCGGCGCCCTTCGCGGCCGCGGCGAGTCGCCGGCGACCCTGGCAGAGCTGGCAGCGCAGCACCGTGCAATTAGACCAGCTTTTCGGGCTAATCGGCGGGGCGGGAAGCGGAGGGCACGGCGCTGCTGCGCTGCTGCCAACCCTCCGCAAAAAAAGTTCCAAAAATAAAAATTGCGGACCTGCAATGCAAGTCGGTTTACTGGCGCTTTTTGTTGTTGCTTGTTGCACTGGGCGTAGGAGTGCGTGGCGAAACCAG